GAACGAACGGTATTGCTCGTCAATTTCCCAGGCTTGGTGGGCCTCGTTGGTTTGAGTCTGCGTGTCGGCTTCCGTTCGAGCGTAGTGAAATCTGTACACGCGTTTGTATACATGTTGCTTGTTCGCCTCCGTGAAGTTGGTGATGTGTTTCGAGCATTTGTCATCACGTGAAAAAAAAGAATAGTTTAGGCTGATGATTCATCTCTAGCATCCGCAAAACTTCAATCTCAAAAGCGGTCCGCTGCGTTTTGTCGGCGTCCATCATTGTATGGCCAATGCGTGCAGGGTGACCCGTGAATGTTTCGTGCATCTCCAATATTGCGTGTATAGCGGTCTGCCATTGTGGCTGTTCCAGATCAGATACTAGAAAGAAGCAGATAGGATAGAATTGGCGCTACACATCTGACTGTTCAATGCGACCTCGGACGTGTCCACCACGTATTCATTGACTGTGTTAGCTTGCCGTCAGCAGCAACACGCTCTCGGATGAATTCTTTTATCAAAAGGTTGAACTCTCCAGGTCTAGGCAAGTGTGACCCGTGTTGATGAACTTGAGTCGAGTCTTTAATACTACACGTGAGAGCCTTCAATCGTCAACCACACCTTTGCCCCCTACCACCGGATGCACAAGTTGCGGAATCGCACTTGTAGATGTCGCACTGCACAGAGTGCCCGTCTAGGTTAAACTAACAGACTTGACGCAGCTCCGGGTGATTCTTGTCCTCTAGGCAGCTCTGCTAGCTGTCTAAGAAGCTATCAAGCTGAGTTTCACTCTTGCAAGTGGGCACAAGTCTCCACGCATATTTGCCTCGCATCTACGTTCGATTCTGAAATAGCTAGCACAAAATACCGATCAATAGTGCCTATTTTTAGTCCATATCCCTTTTGTGCCAGATACAATGACTGTGTAGACGTCCATCCTGCTCTGTAACTACTGAGCTATCCTCGGCCGAATAGCATCTCCTTTTGTGCCTGCGACGTACGCTCTCTAGTATATCCCTGGGTTATATAGATTGTCAATTTTCCTATCTAGAACCCTATATACAAACACGTAGCCCTTCCTTATTCTTTTGGACCGTGAAAGGAGCGGTCACTACTCCAGTCAACTCCAGTCGGGGCCCGAGACACTGGTCAATCCCGGCCGGCTTAGCTCACGCGCACCACCCTCAAGTACTGAGGGAAACTAACACAATCAATACACCGTTCACGCTATTTAGTCGGACCCTGACTAAATGTGGTGTACGATATTTGAGGGGAAAGGTTGAAATTTCAAAATGTTCTAGTGACGTCAATATTCAATATTTCAGAAATATAAGACCATGATTGGCTTCGGCTCAACGAAATCTATCCAGATCCGCCGTCTCTGTGATGTTTTAAGGTCCTGGGGTAAATTTGGTTACGTAGTGTATCACGAAAAAGTACGGAAGCACGACTATTTGCGAACAACGACTAAATAGCGTGAACGGTGTACATCCTATCACACAATAGCACTTAACTCAATACTTCCCACCCGGGGCTACTCTAACCGGGGTGACAAGGTAATCGGTAATATGAAATGCGGGGCCTTCCTGGTCTGAACGAGCTTAACCGCAACTAGGAAATGAAATGGGATGGATCAACCTCGGGTTGTCGCCCGGCACTCACCTCATCTTGAACTAGACTTGGTTGCGGGAGCTCAGCCCAGATGTCACAGTTGTTGGGCCCTCACACGTAGACTTGGTCCTCCGGGAATGCACGTCCGGTAGGTTGCTCCAACTCACTTGCGCGATCCTTGGCAAAACGAACTCTGTTTATCTCTTCTTTGTTGTCTCTGTCTGTCTGTCTGTCTGGCTATCTTCTGTCGATCCTTACATGCATTCCATCTTGACTTGTCTTCCTTATAGTCTTGTCGTCGCAATCGTCCGCGGTCCCTCGTAGCATACTTCCATCAAGTATAATCATCACTGGGTACGCAAGCGAAGTTCAATGTTCCACGGAATCCGAACAGATCTTGGCTGGTCGGCTTGGTCGGCCGGAAACATCTTGGACTTTGTATACTTGATCTTCACATCTGGGGTGGTCTCTTGGTTTCTCCATCCAGGATCCCGGAGTATCTCCAAACGGGATCATACTCCACTTGGGCTTCACATCTGGGATGTCTTGGACAGCTTCAAGGCTTCTGGGTCTTCACTTGAGCCGGTCGGGCTCCTCTTGCGTTAAACAGTGCACCAAGAGCAGGCGCCCTCCAGTCGGAGGCACTTCTATGCTCCCTTGGGCTTTGCCTCTCGTTCGTTACTTGGTTCCAGCCGGGGTCCGCTCTTGGGGACATCTCCATCCGGGGTCCCCAAACCTTGTACACTGCAAACGCGAGTCCGGCCAGGATCCGCTTCTCCCATACGCCACGTGTCGCTGCCTCCCTCTCCCATAGTGAGCTTCTGAGCCAACCAATCCAGGCGCGGTTCGGTAAATTCTGGAACATCTCCAATCCCATCGTGTCAATACCATCTCATCGTCGTTGTGGCTGTTATCGTACAGCCGCTGCGTGAACACGGACGACTTATCCAGCCCGTGGCGAATGAAGTGCTCTACATGAAAGTAGAACTGGTGAAGGTCGTACTGCGAAAACCGTAGTCTGATTTCTGCAAGTTTCTTCTTCAGTACCTAAGAAACAACATTTCTATCAAACCTCAACTTTTTTCAGATCGCATTGGATTGGCTATAAATCGGACTTAAGCCAAATGATTGGACATAAAGTTCGACTGGACGGGAAATCGACGAAATCGCTTAGTAAAACCTCAAAATATATGCGAACCCCACGACGCCGACAGGAGCGCTATCATACTCTACGATGGTTCTCCGCATCGGCAGTTAAGTGATCTACTCAATGATACCTATCATTTTGAAAATCGCTAAAATTTGTAGCCATTACGCAAAAAAAACTAATGATACCCAAATTCGGGTTTACAAAACTTGCTCTGTTTCCTTGAATCCTGCTGTTTTCAAGCAGCCAATGAGCTGACGCGAAAACACCGAATCTCACCTTTTTTAGGTATTGTTCACCCCCAACTGATAATTTTTGATTTTTTTATGGCGGCCAGATAGAAATGTTGTTTCTTAGGTGGGCCAGACGAGTATCGCGCGGCTTTTGTCGGTAATCCTTGTCGAAAAGCGATCGCGCCACAGCCTAGACTTAATTAGAGCAAACATTTCTTCGAGGGGGTTCAAAAACGGCGAATAGATGGGTAGAAACTCAACCGAAATGAATTGTGGCACGGCTTATACTTCGAAATAGGTGGTGATATTAATGTGGCGATACATGCTCGTTTCTATGATGAACGCGCGCTTTTGGCTTCTAGCAGTCGGGTCTTTGGCCAGCCATGTCGCTGGTCATCATCTACTTTATAAAGTCCAGGATAGTCTCTGTTATGATTCTGCCTTCGACAGTTTTAAAATGCCGGACTTCAAAGGTAGGAGAGGCTGCGCCAGTAGCGATACGTGTAGAACTAGTCTGGTGTAGTTGGTACCCATCCCGCAATAGACCATGCCTTCCGATTTGTCTGCCGCGTAAGCTTCGTCTCGTCGTAGTAAATGGCCTCGTAGAGCGTATTTTGACCGTCCTTCGTTGGCATCGCCGACGCGTACGGAAAGCGCTGTTCGATTACTCTGTCAGAGTTTTGCTCTCTAAGAAAACGGCGGAAATCGCCCAGCCGAAATCCTACAACTTCCTTCAAGTACTTGCCCCCAGTTTTCTTGGTCACCTACACGTTGAACGCTGGTCGGATGAACGCCGTAGTTTTGCAAGCGAATATTACATAGGAGCTTGAATATGGGTATGACAAGGACGATATCGCGCGCGAGAACGCGCTTCCGGCCACGGCGCTCAACCTAGTGAAGGACAGCATCTTGACGGATGTGTCGACTCTCGGTTGCCTGCGTTGTTCCCAGACGTTCAGCTATCGCGTCCTGAGTTTCAGCACCGCCCAGCTATCATATCACCTTGTGGTCTGCTTTGCTTAACCGGAATTTCTTCGCTCCAAACCTAGCAACACGCCAAAGTTTCCAAGCGTCAGTGTCGGTAAGTCCCACCTCCTCGCCGGCTTCAGCGCGGAGGCGATGCTGATCAAGACGTTGGGCTTCAGCTTCCTGCTTGGTAGCCAAGCGTTCACACCGCTGATGTGTCTTCTCGGCCGAGTGTCGAGCATGTTGGCAGGCACGAGCGAGCTCGTATCCAGAAGTATTAGAAGAGAAAGGGACGATTGCAGAGATGAGGGTGGCGAGGAGTCAAGCGAAAAAGAAAATCAAACATTTCAGAGCGGCCTGGTAGCTATGAAGCCTTCAGCAGCAGCAAGCACGTCGTGCCGAAAAAGCGACCCAAGCGGCTACCAGTAGTGCTGTAGAAGCTTCAACCTGGCGGCGACCTCGTAGGCGAACGAGCCGACGTGCAGAATCGGTTTGCTTTTCCGAGCGGCGAGGACGCCGCATTTTGGCTAGAATGGCAGCATGAGATTGGATCTGGATGCTTTGTAGTGCTGGGTCAACAGCGACGGATGGGTCGAGACGAGGGAGGTTACAGGGCGACCTTCGGGTATTTTTTCTTGGCTTCTGGGATGGAAATGAAAGTGGGGGAGTGGTCAAAGCCTAAGGCTACGTGCGAGATGTACAATTATCCAGGATGTTTTTATTTAGGCCTTGTCGAAATGCACGATTTGGGCCGCTTGATAGGGCGGTATGCAAACTCATATTCGTACCGGCCAGTTCTCAATTGTGGGACAACAGTCGATATTAATACAAGTCGAGCACTTCGCCAATATTAGTGTAAAAGCTTCTTCTGGTTGCGTAGGTTATTCATCTCTGGTTTAGCTACTGCCATGACTAAGAAGAAGCAACCCGCGCGCTAGGCAAAGAAAGCGGCGTCGACAGGGAAGCGAGGAAGGTATAAGAAGATGCAAGGAGGGGCAAAGGCGACGGGATCCAAGACGCAGTCGTCAGGCTCAGAAGAGAAGCCGACACCACCTAGATCCGATCAAGAACGAATGATAAAGGTCGTCGCTGCTGCTGTAAACAAGGAGGTGTCGGTACGAGTGGCAGCGAATGCGTTTGGAGTTGAGAAGAGTAGCGTTCATAGGCACGTGAAGAAGCACATCCCGATGAATGCGAAGCCAGGTCCCGATCCAGTTCTTACCGAAGGAGAAGCCCAAGGTATAATCGATGATGTTAAAGCTCGCACTAAACGTGGTCAATGTTTTACGTCTGTCGAGCTTGGCAAGTTTGTTCGTCAAGTAGTCGAAAACAGTCTCTACACTAGAAGTATTCCTGCTATGTTTCCATCGTCTAACTGGGTGAAGAGCTTCATCAGAAAGCACACAGACGTTTTTACACGACGCAAAGCACAAAGCTTAGCAGCTTGTAGAGCAGAAGCTTCGACGGAAGAGAACGTCGATCGACACTTCAATAGCCTGAAGGAGGCGATTGCAGGGGAACTTCAATCCTTCTCTCATCTGGAATCTGGACGAAACGGGAATGAGTGGACAAGAATCTGGCAGAAAGCTAACGGTGTTGGCAACAAAAGAAGAGCGAGCGAATGTTTGGCGGTCGGAAAGTCGTGCCAACGTTTAGCGCATTAGTATGCGCTAACGCCGACGGAGGATTCGTGCCGCCTTTCATTTTTTCTGGGAAGCACGTGACGGAGAAATATACGATCGGTGAAATACAGAACACGAAGTATGTTGCAAGCACTAGTTCTTTTCTGGTTACGTCACTGTTTGTACAGTTCTTTGAGTGGTTTGTCAGCCACATTCCTCCGGAGAGACCTGTTTTGCTGATAATGGACGGCTATAAAGCCCACTTTTCAGTGCGGACCCTGACATGTGTACGGCGAAATGGTATCCATCTCTATCCTCTCCCCGCGCACACTTCACATTTTCTACAGCCATTTGATATCAGTGTTTTTCGGCCTTTTATGACGCCCTTAATGGCCAGATTGATGCCTATCAGCAGCGCACGGGGTGATGGTTGATGAAACGAATATTGTCGGCGTGTCTGCACCTGTGTTCCGTGAAGTGCTAACCCGTGCGCGCATCGCCGATGGGTTTGAGAAGGCTGGTATATATCCTCTGGGTCGCAGCAAAATGATGGCGGGATTATTGGAAAGGTACCAGCTACGGAGACACCAAACACCATCCTTCTCAAACCCACCGTTATGATTAGCAACAGAACCGCAAGGAAAATTGAGCGTTCAGGCGACGATGTTGATCGAGTGCGCGTGGCCTCTATGAATCATTGGCTAGTGGAGGAATGAACTATTCCGAAGCGGTGGGAGTGTGACCCTGAAGATGAATATGTGAATGGAGCCTGCCTGATGACTAGCGGCGAGATATTTAGTATTAGCCAGAGAATAGCAGCTGAGCGAGAGGCCAAGAAACGGTATAAACAGCTCAAAGCTCAAGCTAGAGTCGCGAAGGCAAAGGAACGAGGGCAGAAGAAGGTAGAGAAGATGGTTGCGGATGCTTTAAAAGAGCGTGATAGAAGAGAAGCGCATCGCGGATGCCCAAGCAAAAGAAGAGAAGCGACTTGCTGTAGCACAAGCAAACCAAAGTTGATCGCTGCGGAGATGAAAAGGCGTCTGGCTGCAGAAGCGAACGAGGAGAATCGGCTTGCTGCAGCTCAAGAGAAAGAGAAAACGAAACGTGCTACCGCCGAAGCAAAGGAAGCGAAGCTGCTTGCAGCAGCTCAGGTGAAGGAGCTAAAAAGTCGTACCGCCGCCGAGACGAAGGAGAAGAAACGACGTATCGCCGCAGCAGCGAAGAAGGACAAGATGTTGAACAAGAAGCAGCTATCCGAAGCCAAGCGTGAGCAACCAAGTGAGAGTGTCATGTTGAAGCTCACATCTGGTGATTCCCATACAAATACCCTGTATCAGATTACGCTCTGACGCTGTCCCATAATAGTGGCGACCTGAAAACCATGTATTTCACTGTTCAACTGCTAGTGATAGCCGATAGTCTTTCGACATCTAACTGCATCAACAAACTAAATTTTCCTTCTTCATGGTCATGCCTTTCGTTCGTCGGGATTTATAGTGTAAGGGTGTTTCGAGGTCGCTCAAAAAGTGTCCCATAATCGTGATGATACGGATACGCCCTCAACGGTACCACAAAAGCAAATGAGGCTTAGGTGGACCGATATCAAAAAGCGGTACTCAGCGTAATCAGTATCTATCATGTTTCTATACAAATACTAACTCATATGCATCCATAATATGCATCCTACAAATCACCGAAGATGTCATGACCCATAAGCCACATGGGAAAGGTTCCGTAATTTTGTAAATGGACGTCTAGAGCACCGTTTTAGAAGGAAATATAAATGGGTTGTAAACTACTTCTCTGGGTCACCTAAGAAACAGCATCTCGGTTTTCAGGGCATAACTCGATGGAAAACTTCATGTTGAGGATGGGCGTTAGTGCAAAATAAAGCTGAGCTTTTGCTCGTTCTCGTACTGCTATCGGTTGCTTCTGAACAGCAAAAATAGAGAGAATATAGCTCTGTTTCTATTCGCTAATTTGGGTACGATTCGTTATTTTGCGTAAATTCTTTAACATTTAGCGATATTACATTACAAAAATATGAGCATGAAGCCTAGACGTTGCTTTTTCCGATTGTATCACTGGCTTTTGTGTAGACGTTGTGGAGGTGTTGTTATAACCAGCTAGAATTTGAGGTTTTTCAGATGATTTCGGTATGGTTTGCTCACCACGAATACTTTTGACCAATCAAAGAAGAAAACCCGTGATTATGTCTAATTACATATGATGTGTGGTCCACATCAAACTGAGGTTTTAAAGGAGAGTGTTGTTTCTTAGGTGGCCCAGAGAAGTATACTTTATCGAGGATACTTCCAAAACGTTCAATACCGCCGCCATCCACCCTTCGTGCTTGTTGTGCCACGTATGCGTACCGAGTCATTCATTTCCTTGCCTACCCAGCTTTTGATTGGAGTCGTCGCAAACAGGATGGCATTTACGCCGTCACGTCGAAATCGGATGATAAGAAGGCGCAAGCGCTAGCTACGGCTGTGTGCTGCAGCCGACGCTAGTGTCTAGAACGAGTGTTTGAGCAAGCTCGTTTACTAGCAAAGCCACGACCACGCACGAAGTAGAGTCGTATTTAAGGCGCCAAAACACAATCAAAAAGCCGTCCCTCGTCAGAAAAATAAAAGGATTGACGAATCGATTTCGTGACACCACCTCCAATAATTCCCCTACTCATCATGGCCAGTCAAAAACGTTGGGGCAGTTGGGCAACGTTGTAAGGCCGCGACGAAGACTCCGCCGCCGGACCACGATGACCAAAGGATATGGCAAGTCGTCTTGTCTTTCCTATCGTTCCATAAAAATATCTTGTCTAAACGTGTCCGTTTCGGATCTTCTAGGACTAACAGTTCCCGCCGAGAAACTACGAGGGGTCGCCTTAGGTTCGGGGACCTAACGTAGGTACAACTGAGGATAGAAACCCCCTGGGACCCGTCGACGGTAAGATCCACTGCCGGACTATGGTGTGGACCACAACTTCAAATCCAGGACATAGGCATCCGTGACGTGCGATGAGGCGACCATCACTCACGGTACCAAAGTCCGTCAAGATGACGACTCGTAACCGTCAGCGCAGCCAATTATCGCGAGCCTTGGTCGTCGGTTCCAAGTCGTTGTTGACCTACAGCGTGATCTCGGGAACCATTCCGATATCACACTACGCTCAGATCGTTCAGCACTGGAAAATCGCCGACAGCAAGGGTCAGATGAAGATTGTTAAGAAAGTTGTTTCATAGATTCTTAAAGTAGCCTACTGCTAACGAACTTCGTAACATGCTTGACAAGAAAGAACGCAGCAGCAAGTATTTCGGAATGACCCTCCTCCAATACAAAGCTACTTCCGCGTAAAAGTTCTTCAATGTACTTCCTTGATTTTTTTCCTCTCGTAGTCAATCAGAAGCTACAGCAGCATTTCGATTTGTCGGTCCCGGTGCTTGCTTGTTCCCTCCCTCTTTCAGCTTTTGTTGTTCTTGTTGCAGCAGCTGCAGTTTTTCCTTGTGATACTGCTTTTCTGATCCAAGTGTCTCGCACTGTAGTTGCAGCTCTTTTTCCTTGGCAATATGATTGACCACGCTTTCCTCTGGTTTCTCGGGAACAACCTCTATCTACTGCGCGAATAGGGCTTCGAGTTCAAAATCGACTGTCGCCATCTAACGCATCACAGTGGGGAAGGGGTTACAAAAACGATAGCAAACCGAATAACACCTCACACATTAGTAAGCATGCAACACTTGCATGATAAGTTAGATCATAATCCCGAGCACACACCTTTGTCCCATTCGATGCGACCTCCTTCACGACCTCAGCGCGTTCGCTCCTTTGTAGTACACGTAGCTTGCAGACGTAATCTCACAACTGACACCGATAGTTCCGCTCTCAAGAAGCGAAAAGCATTCTGAACTCGGTGTCGTTGCATTTCACCAGCTCATTCTTTACATCAAAAAGACGAAGAAGCGCCCAGAAAGACCTTCAAGGTCGACCGCAAAAGAGTCTCGACGGCTTCTAAGGGCTGTACACATCGGGATATCCAGCTCTTAGCAACTTCCAGAAGACCTACAGCTGCCGATAAAGGCACGGTGTGTTCGTGGGATGCTCCGCTACACACCAACGATGGCGCACACGAAGTGGAAGACGGTGCCGAGCACATGATTACCCGCATTTGCCAGGGCTAGATGGACGGAAACATGGATGGTCGATGTTTTTAGTGATGAAAAGAAATTCAATCTGGATGGATCAGATGGGTTTCAATACTATTGGTACGGCCTTTGCAACGAGGAGAAGCTTCCCTCAACGCGACACTCGGGTGGAGGGTCCGTCATCACATGGGGTGCATTTTTGTCACAAGGTAAGGCAAAGCTGGCTATTCGTTCGGGTAACCAAAACAGTGTCAAGGGTATAGGCGTATCTACTACCGTTCGTCGAAGAGTAGGACACCCATGTGTGTTTCTTCTTAGCACGATAACAGCTCGATCTCGATCCATGTGTCCAACTACTTCAAGACCTCGATCGACGACCAACCATTTGCTGTTCTGCCGTGGTCTGCGCTGTCTCTAGCCTTGAATCCATTGACAATGTATGGGTAGCACGCCTGGTCTACACTAGCGGCAAGCAGTATCAGACCTCGGAGGAGCTCACACACGCGGTGCCGAAGACATAGGACAAGATCTACCAGGCGTATCTCGTCACGCTAAGTGCTTCAATGCCGGACAGGTGTGCCATGGTTCGCCAAGACGCTGGTAAACCGACGCCATACAAGGCATGCTTAACCCCAACAAATTTTATCTTTAAAATAAGGACAGAAGCAAATCCGGCGGCCTCGATTTTGGGGCGATTTTGTCCTAAACTGGCACGTAGGACTTTCGTAATCAGATGCAAGGCCAGTAGCAAATCTTAGGTTAAGCCAGGAGCTTCGTCTTCATCTAAAGGGTACCTTTTAGAAACAATGCCGAATGGCCAGGTTAAGCTGGCCATTTGGACCTTCGTAGAACTAATGAGTCCTTCATAGAAGTGGATCAGGCCAATGTGCTCGAAAGCATCTGTGGCAAGTGCATATTTTTGCCACACTCGTCCAATCGGAGACTCCTGCAGCACCGCAGCCAGGTCACCATGCTCAGTGGGCATGTACTAGTATGTGCTAGAGGTATAACATGGTACTAAAACGCTCTCATTCGCCGAGATGCATGCACCTTTGGCAGCCATTCACTCAGTTTACGTTCAGCTTTTGTTTGTACCAGGTTTTACTGACCTCGGTACTACCTTTTATGAGACCTTACATAGGAGCAAAAGTCTTTCAAATCGGAGGAGAAAGGCACAATACGTGTAAAAATGAAGTCAAGCGGGTTGCCTCAAATTTGGTCCTTATTTTTATCCTTAAACAAAATCTTGTTGGGTTTAAAAACGACCGATAAGTACGTAAACGACGCAATACACGCCATCGCCCTTATACTTTTGAAGACACCCGCGAAGTGTTATTTTTGACAGCTCGGCCAGTTCTTCGCCGATTTCAAAATGCATACCACCATTCGTTTGGCGTCGTGAGCTTGATTGACTACTTTACAGTACATTTTGATAAATCCATCGGTTAAAAACTCAAAAACTGCCCGTTCGTATGTATAGTGCCAGCACTTTATGTCGAGCACCGAGGGAAGGTTAATTTTTCGAGTATGCGTACAGATATAGTGTGGTGATCACTGCATGTACTGTACTCCCTTCAGGGTTGCGTAGATTTACGTGAATACAACGCCTACAATCTCTCTGGATATAAGGCCTAGGTCTTGGACAGTGACCAAATAGAACGCTCACGAGGCATTAATTAGAACGCCTACGTACGACAGGAGAAGTATGCGAGTGAGAAATGTGGTCCACGCCACAAACCTTAAGAAAAAAACTGTTCATTCCTTCTTTCGTTACTGGCAGGCAGGCATGAGTCTCGCCTCGTGCCCTTTAGAGGAAGGGCTCGCGTTCGACACGGGGCCGGAGAGCGTCTACGCCGTGCAGGACTATGCGCTCGCCACGGGCAAGTCGGTGCGCGTGGAGCGCGCGAGCGGCGCGGACCGGCGCATCGTGTGCTCGTCCGAGCAGCCGTGCGCCTTCTTCGTGCAGATCTACAGGCAGCGCATGTCCGACAAGAAGACGTACGGCAAGTGGTACATCGCGTCGCTGGAGCTGGAGCACTCGGAGACTTGCGACGCAGTGCGCCGCTTCACCACGCGGCAGATCGCGGGGCTGCCGGCCTTCGTGGAGACCGTGCAGTCTAACCCCAAGGCCTCCATCGAGGCCCTCCTGGCGACGGTGCTGGAGCGCTATGGCATCTCGCTGGAGAAGCAGATCCGCCTAGTGTACCGAGCCAGAGACCTGGTGCGCAACGGCAAAGCTGCCGTCAGAAGCGCCATTCTGCCCAGTCAGGACGCGCCGCTGCCGCCGAGGCAGTACGTGCAACGCCGCATCAAGTCCGCGCAGGAGCCCAAGAAGGTGAAGAACCCGGAGAGGATGGCGTGGACGCAGACGCTGGTGGAGTCGCTGCTGATCGAGAGGGTGGTCAAGCACGGGAGGGAGTTCGTCGAGTCCGGGGAGCCGTCGCAGCACCGACAGCTGTGGGATGTGATTCGCAGGGACTTCAATACGATGCACCAACTGTCCGTCACCGTGACGCAACTGCGAGCCAAGTTCCGGTACTTGCACGAACAGTATATCAAAGTTCGCGCTGACGAGGAGGAGGCTGAGAGAGACGCGGAGAAGCTGGTCGTGTACCCGCGCTGTTGGGACATGCTGGCCGAGTACTTTGGAGATGATATCCCTCATAGCAGTCCAAGCTTCGAGGTTGAGGAGAAAGAAGAGGGTGGCGTGGCGGAGGCGACGGACTCCCAGGTAGTGAGTGCTTCAACTAGCACGGGGGACATTGTGGCCGCTCAGTCGGCTTCTGTTCCCTTCGTCCAGTCGGTCCCTCTGCACTCCGTCGCTTTCCAGTCGGTACCTATGCAAACTGCGTACCAGGCGCTTCCATTGCAGTCGGTCACCCAGTCGACACCTGTCTACTCTGCGTCTACGCAGGTAGCAGTATCCCAATCTCAAGCTTCTGTTGTCAGACAGGAGCCCTCACCTGAGGTAGCTGCCAAAAGGAGAAGGCTGGTTCCTCCAGAAGCTACGGTTGTTCAGCAGGACCCACACAGTACTGTATCGCACTACGCAATCGCTTCCAACGCGCCCCCTACTGACGTCGTGGAAAAGCTCGAGAAGATTCAGAATACGCAAAACGAGATGTCCAAATCTATGGACGGCATGAAACAGGTTGTGGAGCAATCGAACGAGGCCATTCGCAGTCTGCAGCAAGCACTGAACCAGTCGAACCAAGTTAATGCGGCGCTGCTGGACTTCCTGAGGCGTCAACCGCCTCCTGCGTCGTAGGTTTAATCGTAGGAAATGCATCCGATTCACAATACATGTACGCCTTATCATTACAAATGAGAGTAAAACAAGTTTTACTTCCGAACATCAAGCTTCCTTGGTGCTGGTCTCATTGGGCTGGGGCTTGTACTGCAAGCTGCCCGCGGTGATCTTAGGGATTCGCATTCTCCAGATTTTGCAGGACATCGATCTGGCTCACGAGCATAAGCGCAGGACGGAATGTCCTGTATTTTCCAAATCGAAACATCCCGGCGTCAAATCCTACACAAAATCTAGTATTATTGGCACAAGCTTGGCAAAGTCAATCTTTAGTGCTTTTGCAGGACAACATGTCCTGCAAGATTTGCTGTATTGCGGATGCCGCACCCGCAATGCAGCAAACTTCCGAGCTAATGCGCCAAGCAGAATATAACACACACGTGGTGTCCGTTAGCGTAGCGTGCCCACCAGGAAGATACAGTATTCATGGCTCGCTCTGTAGACCGAGGAGCATTTTAGTCGTACCAGTTAAAGAAATCTAAGCTCAGCCATACATTTCATACATTCTCAACACTTTTTTTAACTAAGTCAGCAGCAACGCCGAGTCGAACCAGTACGTATATGAACGCTGAAAGATGTACAAACAATAGCTCTCCATTACCCATTGCTAATCGCAACATTTAATTGCGGGGGCACACGCTGTGTCGACGCTTGCCATGACTGTTGTATGTGTAGTGTCCCTGGATAGCGAAGAGCAATTGCAGCACCTTCCCTTAGGGTCTGACCCGCTGAAGCCGCCCACGTTTGAGCCTCCGCCGAACGGCCATACCAGAGCTGCCGTACCAGCTAGTTGTCGTGATCGTGATCGTCCTCAACGAAGTCGCCCACGACGCTACCGTAGCGAGCCCTCAGTCTTGATGGTTGCTGGTCTGCGCGCGTCATCTCCTGCCCGTCGAGATCCAGGCCAGCATGCCACCCGAGACCGAATCACCTGTACTCGAAGCCCTCGGCCACTTTGTTTCCTGATACGAGTAGGACGGAGTCATCGGCGTAATGTCCTGTAAAATCCGTTCAAGAATCATTTATGAATCCACAGGATTGAAGGAGGGGGGCATCACGCGGCGCTAGCTAACAGTCGACGAGCGTAACCTAGAAGAAACTTTTGAGTCGAAAGCAGGCACATTGAAGTGCGGAAGTTGGTAGCCCTGACCAGCATCGAAGAGCGCATGTGTACGTAGCATCAGTCAGATTACAGGTTAGCGCCACACCGAAAGATGCCTCTGTTAGCGGGGTTAGCTAGTTTGCTCGCTCTCAAATTACTGGACCATCATATTGGTTGTTGACGTTTGCTCGTTTTCAGAGCATGAGGGCCACCATGGAAACGATCCATGATTTACTGTATGAGCGCGGACATCCTCCCCGAGATGGCTAACCTCTACTTTGACGATTGATTATTCAACGGGATGCTTTTGTCGGGGTGCAAGTCTACTGGCATTGGTGCTACAGCTTGCTACGTTGTACTCGAGCGCAGAAACTGCAGTCTACGTTAGCACAGCAAGGCTCACCTTTTCTGCCAAGGTCGCGGAGTGCTTTTGGGACGGCAAACTTGAATGGACGGACACCTATCTACCACTCACACCAAACTTCGTTGATAGCCCTTCCTCGCAACAAGTCCTTCAGCAACAAGCCCGTAGGAGATGGCACAGAGCCGGCGTCGCTCACGAACGAACGCTCCTGCATGTGTTCGGGAACTGCCCACGCAAAGGGCTCTTGCAGCATCTCGGGAAGTTGCGCGTAACGGCGAAGTCCGAAAACTCGACTCAGCACGAATACGAGTAATATTGCAGCTCATGTCGCCGAGTCTATCATGCTACCCAGCTTCGCTCACATTGTCCGGCACGCTTTACTGTGGACGACTTATACTGATCACGCTCTGGACGCTGGGCGGAACAACTATCGGAGCCCAACACTATGGGAGCTGTGACGACATCCGGATCGCTCTACCCATTTCAGACCTCGCGGCTCATCATACCCATTACAGACCTCGCTTTCGCGGGCTCCGCTTTTTCCCGCGACGAGCTCAGCTTGAAGTCGCCGGACTGGACGACGATGCCCCACGCCCGACATTTTCTGCGATTGGCACACTTGTTGGTCAGCGATTGAGTCAAGCCGCTGGTGCTTCAAGCCGCTGGTGCTTTCTTCGATTCCATGGTTCTCTAACGGGTAGAGTTTCTGCCGTTTGCTTGTGTGTAGAGTTATTTGCCTGTGTGTAGAGCTGGAAAACGGCGGCCGTTTCCGAGGAGTCGCTCGGGCAGGTCTGCATAGTCCCCCGCAGGGCTCTTCCTCTTTCGTGAGTTCGGTTGCTCCTGGTTGTCACTTGTGCTCTCGCGCTGGCGAAACGATCGGTCTCATTGCCGCTTTTGCGCTGGACTCCTCACACGCCTCCAGCAACGCACGTCACCTCGATCCTCCCTGCTGCGTACGTAGGCCAAGGCTTGGCCGCTTCGACGATGAACCACGGGTACGCGCACAACCATGCGGGGTTCCCGTTGCGCTCGGACTTCTTCCGCAGCCTCCCCCTGGCCAAGTTCAAGAACGACAAGCTCTACCGGTTAGCCAAGGCTAACGCGCTCGCGTGCTTGAATCAGTCGTTCAACGACCAGTGGAGGTATGTTCCACCCGAGAAGGACGGCACGCAGATCCGCAAGGACACGAGCAACATGGCCGTCTCGTACCGGCTTGTGCGTGCAGCCACGGTGCTGCGCTGCCAGGAGCACGAGGTCAACCAGGTGATCGCCAACACCCACTCCGAGAGCTGGCGCGAGTTCATGCGCAAGTGCTTCGGCAAGTACTACATCGACACCCTCATCCTCCACAACGTCGCCAAGCCCAACGATGACAACACCAGCTCGACAACCACCACCAGCTCCAGTGATGCAGCCAAACGCGCTGCTCGCTCCAACAGTCAGCCGGAAGGAAGTGGCAGCGGAGAAAACGCAGACGTGACTCTGGATAAAGACGTCCCAGGTGAAAGCGAGGGAAGACGCGGAAGCGTCTGGGACAAAGGAGCCAACCACGGCACCGAGTCGTATCACGGCACCGAGTCGTATCAACACCAACGCCGGAACTCAGAGGCCAGCTCGGTGGATACGCCATCAGGCAAATTGGCGTCGGAGTGCAGCAGCTCCAACACTGAAGAGCGACTGAAGGAAGAGGCTGCCGCTGCAGCGGATGGCCTAGGTGAACAAGCTGAAGAACTGCTGACTGTAAAGTGGGCGGCTTTCGAGACGGGCGTCTCGGGGAAGCGTGACGTCTGCCTCGTGGACTACCTCTCGTTGGCTTACATCCCCAACTCGGAGCCTCGCCAGCGTGTCCATGTTTGGTGCTTTACGTCTGCAGACGGTGATCGCGTCGGCTGCATGGAGCTCAAGGACACTCACCACGTGACGCGCACGAAGCTCACGAAGCTGGGTGTCTTCTGGCGCAAAGTCTCCGAGGACGAGACGGAAGTGATCGTCTGCGGCAGCTTCCCATCCAAGCACGCGCCGATGGTCAGCGCTATTTTGTTGGGCTGTCTCAATCGGCTGCAGGGCATTGTGGAGGATCTGCGCATGAGTAGCCAGCTCTACATCCAGCGAGCAACGTGGGTCAAGAACAACGAGCGCACCACGTGCAACCTCTGCACGCGAAACTTCCATGCGTTGCGACGCAAGCACCACTGCCGTCGATGCGGTGAGGTTGTGTGCTCGGACTGTTCTACGGTCGAAACGATCGACCTGCCAGCTATCGGCTACTCCAAACTGAGGCTGTGCAAAGTCTGCTCCATCCGAGCTCGCACCACTCCACTCAGGCAGGTTGCCAAAACCAACGTGTTCGACCACCTCGTGCGCGCACGCAGCCTCAGCAACGTTGGGTCGTCAGGGGCGACTTCGTCTTTCACTCGCTCGTCGTACACGGAGAACAACCAATTGAGTCACCACGAGGACAGCTACAGTCACAGCACCACCTCGGACATGGCCCCATCGTTTACTACCGCTCACGGGGACGGACGCTCGAATTCGACGTACGCTGTGAATTGCAACACCACCAACAACAATAACAGCAACCACGATGGTCCGATGACTTCGCGTGATTCCTTCAACGAGTACACCATCTCCACACACAGCCCTGAAGCAAGCGATGCCCCAGTGGATATCAACGACGTCACAGCCGTGGTGCACCCCATGAGTGCGCTTTTGGGCTCCCCTACGGAAGAATACGACGACTTCATCGACGAGCGTTGTCTGAAGACGCAACTGTGCGCCATGGAGCAGAAGAAGCGCTCGACCGGCAGCAACAGCAACATGTTTGACCTTCTGTGCGAGTTGGCGTGCCAGACACTCAACTGCCCCGTTGCTTCGGTCTCGATCGTGGACGACAAGGACAACTTTATCCGCTCCGCCGTCGGACTCGAAGGGAACTCCACGCTGGACGGTGAACTGTCCGTCTTCATCGAAAAGATCATGGGCTCGACCCCGACCATCGTGCTGGACGCCAGCGTCGACAAGCAGGCGCTCAAGTTTTTCTCGCTGCGATCGCTGCCTGCTATCCGCTTCTTCGCCGGCTGCCCGATCTACTCGCGTACTGGGAAGAAACTCGGGTACGTCTGTGTGGCCGACTTCTCCAAGCGCGACACGCTTGGAGCTAGTTGCGCGTTCACGATGGAGAGACTCGCCACCCTTGCAGTCACCACGATGGAGCGCAACATCACGATCAAAAACAACAACAACGCCAATAATAACAACAGCAACGACGTCGAGGTGGCCGACTTCACAAAGCGAGTGCCACCGCCGAATCCCATGCACCCAGCAATGCTTTTTGATCGACCTGGCTCCGCGGCTAAAAGTCACAGCAGTGGCAAAGGCTCGAGTGCTCACTCAGAGGCACTGGTCGGGCGCGTGTACGAGATTGTGGAAGACGAGATGCCGCCAGTGACAACGCCGTCAACTGTGAACTTGAATCCCGCGGCGAATGCAACGCGGTCTGGCTCGGGTGAACGAAGTGCGGGCTACTACGAAGCGCAAGAACGGATGCGTAAGCTGCTGCTCAAGTCGTACCACACGCAGCAGCAACTAGCGACTGGCGGAACGCAGTAGGCAACTTGATCGTTCAGTGTAGCATTACATTCTGAGTGCCCTAGGGAGATCACAGTACTTTCGTTTGGTAGTTTGCTTTAGGTATTGTAACAAAGCGTTTTCGCACATGTGACTCGTGTTGTGTTTGTTCTACTTGTACGCATTTCGACTATGACGCATCGCCGACGCCGACCTAACAATAATGAGTCCTGTGCGATAGCTTACTCGTCCGTGACGCAGCCCTCCGAGGCAGACTTCACGTTCTTGATGAACTTGTACAGAGTGCCGCGAGTGGCCTTCAGAGGAGGAGCGACCCACTGCTTCTTGCGCTCCGCCAGCTCCTCAGCAGTCACGTCCACCAGGTCGATGCGGTTCTTCTCCGCGTCCACCGTGATCTTGTCGCCGTTCTTCACCAGAGCGATGGGGCCACCAACCTGCGCCTCGGGCGTGATGTGGCCGATGATGAAGCCGTGCGAACCGCCAGAGAAGCGGCCGTCAGTGAGCATGGCAACGTCCTTGCCGAGGCCAGCGCCCATGATCGCAGACGTCGGGGCAACTGAAACGAACAGCAAAAACACATCACGTCAGAAACACGGCAACACACGCGTCAAGATCGAGAGCGGATAGCAGAAAACTTACGCATCTCCGGCATGCCGGGGCCACCCTTGGGGCCTTCGTAGCGGATGATGACAACGCTTCCCTTCGTGATCTCGTTGTTCTCCACAGCCGCAAGCATGTCTTCTTCGCAGTCGTACACCTTCGCCGTACCCGTAAACGTCAACCCTTCCTTGCCAGTAATCTTGGCCACAGAGCCCTCCGGAGCCAGGTCGCCACGAAGAATGCGCAAG